TATTAAAAAATTATTTATATTACATTTGATCAAAACTAAAAGCAAATTTTAAAGTCCGGTGAACATATCAATTTTTTCCGCCTGAGGACATAAAAGTAATTTCCGTCAGCTTTTTGGGTAAAAAAAACTGGGGCACAATTTTTGTCACAATTGTAAACCGCTTCAATGTATACGGTAACCTTCTCTGTTTTTAGTAATGTCTGTATATTATAAAGTACTCCTCTGCTCCTTATTATAAGACCCAATTTGACTTTTAATTTGGTCCTAATTATAAGACCCAGTCCATTTTCTCTCTTATATTTATGTATTTTTTTTCAAGATAATCCTTCTAATAATGATAGTTTTAGCCAATATACTTAATTAGCAAGGATATTTTAGGAATAACAACACTTATTTATTATAAATAACCAACTTAACTTACTTCCTTAATCTCCTCAAATAAGTCAATTTGGTCTTATAATTAGGACCGGAGGAGTATATTTTTTTCTTATTATTGATATATATTTTTCTATTAAAAACAATTCTTATTCTCGTAAAATTTTTCCATTAGACAAAGCTTTCGGACCGTTTACAATTAGTTAAGATAGGGTTAAATTTTGGGCTCCAATGAGCTTCATAACTGAGGCCCAACTTATCTTAAGCCCGGTTAGTTTATTTGAACCCCTCCAATAGGGGAGAGCCTGTATATGATGAGCCAGGCACATGTGGCTCTCTTTGTCTCAAACAATGGATAGGAAATCTCTCCCTTGTCCATGTGCTTTTGTTTAGCAGAACTGCTCCAATATGAATTTTGGGGAGTATTGCGTCCTTTTAGCGTAAAATTTACTTGCCAGTTCATAAATTATTTCTAATTTTCTCTCGAAATTATTTATGTTATATACTTGTTATTGCGACCACAAATTTTAACGGCGTATAGAAAATAAAACAAAATATAATGGGGGCTAACTAGAGCCGGTAATATGGGTTGAGCCCGCGGGCTCAACCCACCAACAAGTGGCGGGTTGGGTTGATAAAAATTAGGACCGTTTTAAAATGGAAGTTTTGAGCCCATAACCGCCAAACCCAAACCCGCGGTGGGCTAACCCGTAGGGTTGGTGGGCCAACCCGTTTAACCATATTTTTTTTTTTTGGCAAATTTTTCCCTTTGCCTCTTAATCTCTACACTCTTAGCCTAGTCTACAGTGCAACAGTGAGCAGTCCATGTCCAATAGTCTAACACGGCAACACCAACACGATCCCATTTTCACATTTTGCTTGCGTGTTGCACTCCTTCCAGACTCCCAACTCTCCTAGACCCAGTCTCCTAGTCTCCCTCGGCCAGTCCTAACTCCCAAGTCCCAAGCCCCAAGCCCCAAGCTCTATGCTCTTTGTCTTTGCTTTGCGCCTTTGCCCTAGCTCATGAGTGATGATTGAGCACTTGATAGTTGATACTTGATAGTGATTTGTGTAGTGACATTGTGTTTGTGACTTTGTGGTAGTGTTAATTTGGATTTATGTTTTAATTTGAGATGTTTGTTAAATTATTAAGGACATATCATGTTCATTTAATCATATGTTTAATATTTTGATATATTTGAAACTTGAAACTTGGAACTTTGGATGGGTTCCATGTTTTATTTATGATAATTTCTATTTGCATGTTTTATTTTAGGTAGTTAGGAATCTGAGACTTTGAGTAGGTTTTATTAAAAAAAAAAGTAAAAAAAAAAAACAAAATTTGGCGGGTTGGCGGGCCTAACCCGCCAACCCACCCTCGTGGGCCGGGTTGAAAAATTTCAGCCCGTCAGAAAGCGGTCCTAAAAAGCCCAGCCCGCCAAGCTTCAAACCCGCCACGGGCCAACCCATAATCGGCGGGTTGGCCCATATTACCGGCTCTAGGGCTAACAGCATAAATAATTGGTACACTTTATTCCCCGGAAGTTGTTTGACGGTTTTCTTTATTCAGCCAAATTCATGTGGCCAAAGACAGGTCAACTGAGAAGGACAGATATGAAGGCATTGCCTAAGAATGATAGTTGATTATTACTTACTGATAATATCAATATATCATTAATTCATTATCATTGCTAGTATTATTATCAATATACTCTTCCGGTCCTAAATATAAGACCCATTTTGTAGTGTAAATTACACTATAAAATGGGTCTTATATTTAGGACTAAAGGAATATTAACATAAAATCATTGGCAAATATAATAAACAATTCAATTGTAGAGTCTCTAAATTATATTTATAAAAAAAAACATGTTCATAATTTATTCAAATATACTCCTTCAGTCTTAAATATAAGACCCTTACACACACTAGGATAAGGGTATTATATCTAGGATCGGAGGAGTAATAATATATATGTGTGATAATGAGTTTAGAACTCAAAACTGAGACTTAGATAAATACACTTTAAAATCATATGGAATGAGTTTTATATAAAATCACGTGAGAAAATAATCTTGCCCCTCTTTCGTCAATCAAATATTACAGCAAGATATACCTCACTTATTCCAGAATTGAGCACTACATATAATCATACTGAATGCAAAGTTAATAACCTAATTTAGTTTAATGCCTTGAAGAGAACACAAGCGCTTAAAGCAAATATTGTAGATTTAATGGCCACAGAGGTAGGCAATCTTCCCTTGTCCTTCCTAAAGAAAAGGCCTTTGTATATTGGCACATTGATGAGAATAAGAACCCCACATAATATTATCTGCAGCATCATCTTCTTCAAAACCCCAATAAAGCCATCTTCATTTGTAAGAGCATCCGTTGAACCGCCAAGGAAGCAGAACAGATTGAGCGTGGCAAGTGTTGCTAAGAGAGTGAACATTGGAGAAGAGCCTCCAAACTCCATTATTTCTTCCTTGTAACGCTGAGAAACTTCTTCTTCTGCAACTTTAGATGTTATTATGAAGCCTGAATCTAAAGGAAACCCTAAAGGCTTCAAGGTGGTATCCATGAAAGCAAAGAAGTAAGAGCTTGTTCTCTTGTAGAGCCAAATTCTTTGCTCGTTCCACCATCCCTGGATTGTGCCTCCACAGATCAAAAACTCCAACAAGCTGTAAGCGGTTTCCGCAAGTATTACATATGCGAAAAGTATGAACCACGGGCTTGACATCTGATCAAACAAATCCACCACAACAATTCATTTTGGAAACAAGGAAATGCCTTTATAATAATGGGCGTATAGAAACAAAAGATGACAAAGAAATGGCTATGTTTATAAGGCTAATGAAGGGAGATATATAGAGATCATACCTTTGGAAACAAGGAAATTCCTTGAAGGAGGCAAAGAGAAGGGAGAAGGGAGAAGGCAGAAACAGAGGGTAGCTAAACTGTTGACTGCCCATAAGTTATAGTAGCAGTAAACCATTTGAAGGCCCAAACTGATTCTGCCATAACTATACCAAGCAGGACTGTAGTTTGAAACCAAATCTGAAGTTCACCCTCTGACCATCTCTTGTGCTGCACGAGTGTTTGCCCCAATGTGTTTGGAGCCACCCCTAAGAATGCCTTCCTTTTTGGATTGTAATACACTGACTTCCATCCTTTGCTTTGTATAGACAATCCTGTTATCACATCCTCCACCGCACACCCATATAGCAGCCCCATCTGCATGCTCTCAGATTTATCAGTATTTTGTAACTTGTCTAAGAAAGATTAATTATCTATAGAGAGAGAGACCTCTTTTCCCCAGAGTGTGTTTTGTTCATAGGTGCAGCTAGCAAGAGGCTCTAATTCTTCTTCTTGTTTCTTCAAGCTTGCTTCCATGAATACGTCATCCTCACTCTTCCAATCATTAAAATTGTGTTGATCATTGAACTTCCTCCCACTAAGAACGTCTCCTGTGAAAGCAGCCGCATCCAACATACAATGGGCCACCGCAACTATCGGCACCATAAAATTCTAGCTGCAAATTTACTCCATTATTCACATTATGGAAGATAACGGGATTATGTACAACGTTGGACTTAGACACAATTTAATGTTTTGACTAACCGCAGAAATTACTCGTAGATCACTCCCGTATAAGTCATTCTTAGTGACACCCGCGAAGTTCTGTGGGAACTGCACATAAGCTATTTCATGCCCTTTCTCTTCATCCATGAAGAAGCACAGTGCGTTTCTCACTGATTCTGAATTGTTCGAGTACATGTCACAATCCACGTTCATTATGATCTTGCCATTGCTAATCTTTGAAGACACCCTTATCTGCATTTTTAACCAAGAATCTCCATGAGTTGTTCATCTCTCTCTCTCTCTCTCATGCACATTATAATGTAAAATGCTCTATTTGATAGAGTACCAGAGAATTCATGGCTCCAGCTTTAAAATGATGGGGATATTGGGGTCTCTTCTCGCAAGCCAAGTAAACCAGAGTTGGCATAACAGACCCATCTGCATCTTTTGAATTCTGTGCGTCTTTTCTATGAAGTAATATCTGCAGCAAACAAGGTTATAGGTGTAAGATTAAAATTACGTTAGTGAAATTAAGTTGACAATAATATATAGATACCTGAAGAATTGTGTCATGGTCACGTCGAGAGGAAAAAGAATCCCACTGAGAAAATCCCTTGTGATTTGAACGTATATCTTTGGGAACTTGTCCCGACTTAGTAGCATCCTCGATTCGTCTTTCCATATCTTGGTGTAGTTTCTACTTGCAGAGTAAGAAATTAGAGAAACCATCTCTCATATTTGAGAGAGAGAAAACACAAACACATACAGATTTTAGTGAATTATGTATATATTACCTTAATATTTGCCAACTCTTTGGACGAAAGTGAGTCATCTGAGGAAGTGGAAGAGGACAAAGTGTTGAAATAAGCAGAAGGAGATTTGGGTTCGAGGTGGAATCTTTTGCAAAAGCGGAGCCAGTGCTTAGCAAAAGAAGAAGCTTCAAGTAAAGCATAGAAGGTCATCTCCGAGGCAGCGTCGTCGGAGAGATACACACACTAGGCTTATCAGAAGTAAAACCAAAAGGTATATGTTTGCACCTATTAGTACCATTTCCATCCATATATCATCCACCACCCGGATGTCCATTTTCATGATTCATATCCATAGAATTCACCTGCCTAAAAGCTGCCTCACGTGTCCAATAGAAGCAAATGTCAATTTTCCTCTTTTGAAATGGTTTCTAAAAGAGCTTCCAATGATGCAGTCAAGTCATATGATTTCTAGCAATATTAACATCATCATATGTAGAAAATCCAGAGCATATTATGTAGCTCTTGCAAATCAGAAAATACTCCTTTGATTCTATTTATGCGGCATTTCCAATGTTTCACACGAATCAAAAAAACTTAAACTGCATTAACTCTGCCTTAAAATATATCAATTTTCTGATTTTACCCCCATAAAATTTTCAAGAAGTAATAGTCTACACTATAATAAATAAAAGACAAATTAGTACATTAAGCATGGCTTCTATAACAAAAATTATGCTCTTAGACAATACAGACACAGGTATTACGAGACAGCACGATAAATTGAATAGGCAATTTTTCAAAAATTTAGGGTAGAGGTGCAAGAATATAAAATTATATTTCAATATTTTAGGGGATGAGTATGGGTATCTTGAGTTTTAAACAATATAAAACTATTCATAATAATCAAGCAAAATATTAATCTTTTTTAAGTTACATAGAAATATTTTGATGGAAAAAAAAATAACAGTACATATGGTAGAATATATGGTGCATATCATGAAGTATAGTACATATATTGTATAGAATATTGGTACATTTAAGTTACATAGAAGTGTATTGCGGAGCTGGATTTCAGTTATTGGCATATTCTGTGGGGATACTTCTATAAGCGCGGCTGCCAAGAAATTATATCGTTTAACTGTTACAGTGGTCACTACTGCTGAAGGTAAGGATGCCATCAAAGCATCTAGAATTTGGTGCCTCAATAAAGGAACCCTAGTTCCATACTTTCCCTTACCAGTAATTGCATACCGTATGCAAGAGGCCCACTCAGGAAGTGATTCGACAGATTGTGCTACAATTATATTCTTTAACTGGGGCATAAGCTAGCTATCCCATTCTCCTGATAGACCATCAATATCGGAGTGTAACATGCCTGCCAGTGCTTCAGTAGCTACACACTGTTTAGACCTCTCCTTGGCACTTGTAAACTCACCTAATGCACCTTAAGAGCCAATATAACAGGCATGCCACATTCTTGTACTAGCCGCTTAAAAATGCGTGCAAAATTTGGGTAAAAGCTATCATGATGTATAAAGATATCACTGGGAGTACGTGGCCAAGAAGATGAAAATTCAAAGTAGAATGGGGTTATGGCTTTGTTAGCTAGGCTTTGGAAACTGGAATCACCAGGACCTTCTCTTGGAAACGACATTTCACTATTACTTATCATATGAACATGAGAAAGACTATTTGATGTCTCACTGAAAAACCCCTCTTCCTGAGAAGTTGGGTTAAAGCTCCTTCTAGAGACGACGTGGCATTGCCTTGCAAATCGTTAGAAACAACAGATTTCTCACCAGCAGACAGCTTATAAGGCGATTCCTTTAACAGTGTATTAAGAGCCGAAATTGCCAGTATTCTTGTTTGAGGAAGATGACTTTTCAAACTCTTTAGAAAGTGTCCTAAACAAGTGACAGCACAAAGATCACGGAACATGTCAGTGAAATTGACTTCAAACAAGTCAATGAATAAAAGAACGTGAGAAAGATGCAAAAGCATCCAAGATTGCATACCAGCAGTTTTGCGCAGGATTTTAGATGATAAGCTTGGGTGGTTTCTAGAGGCCAAAGCCAACAGAAGCAAGACTCTGTTCACCATCAAATTATACCTGCAGAAACAAAATATTGATCCAATGATTCAAATGTTCAAGAATCTAAGAACAACAAGCATAATCCTGTGAACTTGTGGAGGATCATGCAAACTAAAATAAAATTTTAAAAAAGAAATACATCTAGACGAAAAGAAGAAAAGACAAATATAAAGGGAAATACCGCCAATGCAAGCCAGTAGAATCAAAACTCAGAGAGCCAATCTGAGAAACCAAATTTGAGAAATCTGGTCCACTAGTGTGATTATCTGACATCCTGAAAAAGCTTCTAGATACTCCAGAAAAGTGGTTGTTGCATTTTACAAAGAGCTGTACAAAGTAATGTGATGTTAAACAAGAAAAAGTGCGCAATAAACAGTGATCATCTGATAGGGAATAAGCTTACCTCATTAATTGCTTTCTGGGCTTTCAAAGATTCATGATGCGAACTTCAAGAAAATGAGAAGAAATTATTATTCTACACGGCACAGAAAACTTTTTTAAAACCAAGAAGCAAAGAAAATGTCAATACCTCGAAAAATTTCCCAGGATAAATGAAGAGAATGCCTTTGGATCCTATCATAACAAAAAATGTCAGAAAAATGAAATTAATTCACCATCTAAAAGAATGAAAAATAACAGCAAAGTTTTCAATGATCACAGATGTCAAATGCTTGAGAACTGCTTGTGACGAAAGAACTGAAGAAGAACCCTGCACTGCATATTCCTCTGTACTGGGGTTGAGCAAGTTGTTGGTAAGTGTTAAGTTATGGGCTCTGGCCCAAAATTAGGCCCATTGGTAATCAGTAAAAACTCTACTTTGTAAATATCTTATTTATCTAAATTACGAGATTTGATATGATAAGATAGATTTAGATATTAGGTTTAGATTTAATTTTTGGTTACTGCCTACCTTTCTCTATATATATATTTAGAGTCTTTGTACTCTTTGATATGCATCAATAATATATCCAAGGTGCACCCACTTTAGTTTCTACATGGTATCAGTCCCAGGTGTTATAACACACTTCGAATCGAAATCATAAAAGGCTATCTCTTGATCATCTTAATTAGAGATTTTCCTACAAACCTGACAACATATAAATAAATTGATCAGGTAACACAAGAACTGCAATGGCATTTAATGAAGCATGTTAGAGAACAGTAGAACACATGCCAATGCATGAAGAGGCAACCAGAGGACAGGATCGACATAAATATTAACATACCAAGTCACATAAATAAGAACATCCTAAACTTCTTAGACACCATTTATTAAAGACTTTCAAAAATCAATTAAAGTCAGACATTGCAGCCACTGAATAGATTAATCGAACTAGTACTTTTAAGCTCCCAAAACTAGTTTCCATTTTCTTGGTGCAGGCTAAAATATAAGCACAACTCTAATTCAAATAATGCATACAATTATTTATAAGTTACTAGCATGCAAGTCTATCTAATAGCCTATTTGGCATGCAGAATGGAATGAAATTAAAAAGGAAATGTATTGAGAAATGTGATCTTATAGATAAGAAATATATCCCTTGTCATTGAAGAAGAAAACGTAATAGAATAAGATCTTGAGTCTTGAGTAATGATAACAGGGATATAGGATATACTTATATTACACATGTTGATTTGGGTGACAAAGGAAACTCTATTCCCTTCTACGTACTAAATAGGACATAACGGAACTACTCATATCGTTATTTCTTAATAATGCCTGCTAAAGGGTAACACCTAAACTAATCCAACTAATCCCACATAAAAACTTGGGAACTGATAACAAAACTTCATCCAATGACAATCGACGTTGTGGTTTCAACATCAAACACATGACATGCCTGAAAATATGATTGTCCAAGCTTTGGATTTTATGACAATTTGGCAGTCATCTTTTTCTGTAGTGGACAATTAACGACATAACAATAAATTCTATAAATTCTGTCCAAAAGCCAATTCTTTATCTTGTCTTGGTTCATTAGATATAGTAATAAACTGATAATTCCTATGATCAAGAGACTGAATCAAAGTTTTATTACCTTTTCTTTCCTTTGGAATGAAACGATACAATGAAATTAATGGGAAATTCTATAATCACAGCAGATTCTAACTTCCAAGCCTGTCTGTGACTAGACCATTCATCAAATTCCAAACTACCTATGTTAGAAAAGAAAATAGACAGGATGGGTTCAGCTGTGCATAGAGAAATTGGATTTGAAATAATACATTGCAATTCATCCAGGTGGAGCCCATTACCATAGTTCCCTAAACCATCCATTACACGTATAATTAGCATCAGCAAGCTGCTGTTATCAGATTTTTTTTCCAATACATATCTTCAACAGAACCAAGAACACAAGATTGATGGAAATAATCATAATTGCAAGTACATAAGCTGAACAAATTACAAGAAAAGAATTTAACAATGATCCTTACTTGGATGCCTCGTGAACAACCTCAGCAGCCTTTTCTTATAGAGCAGTACTACCAATAGTAGAACCAGTCGCTTCGGCAAGCAAAAAAGTAGGGTCAGAATCATCGGCCATTCCATTCTAGGAGGCGAGAAGGAAATCAGGCAAGCAAGAAAATAGAATGGTGCGGTTAAGGCCGGGGAAGCCTCCAGAAGCTTACCCAAAGGTGCTCTAATAAAACGGTGCGCAGCACTCCCTTCTTGAAAAGCCAAATGGTGTGCAGTGCTCCCTTCTTGAAAAACGATTGGGAAGCATTGATGCTAATTATTTAAGCCAGCGTACAGTGAGCTTTTTTAGTTTCTTTCTCATTTCTAAAATGGCCGAGAACGGCTTTGTCCCTCCTCCCCCTCCCCCTCCTAATCCTCAGCAGCCTCTTGAAGTGCTTCTTGAAGACATTCATCCCCCTATTCCAGAACAATTTCCTGATCCTAAACAAGAGCTTGACCAATTTCTAGTGGACTTTCCTCCCCTCATAGCTCTCGACATGCAAGCAGCCTTTCACTAGTTGCTAAATGAGTCGCATTACAAGATTGCCTTCACTCAAGCTTTAAAGATGAATGATTTTAGATCACTGTATTGGTTTTGCAGTCAAGTAAGACATTCTCAAATGAAAATCCTGTTACAGTTTTTACTAAATGCTTATAGGTAAGACATTCTGTTACAGTAGGTCTGTTACGTTTTCTGCTAAATCTACATAGAATTAGCTGTCTAAAAACCCTGATTAGTTGGTTAGCTATATGAAAATGATTATCAGTAGGTTTGTTATGGTTTTTGCTAAGGGCGTGTGAAATTATCCATACGAACCTCTCTCTGGCCATGTCACTATCTTTGTACTGAATTTTCACATCTGCAATTTCCCCTTCATCTTATGTAATTGTTCACGTTAACAGTCAATTCCTACTACACTGTCAATTAACTGTATGCATATGGCATTGGCTATAGGAAAACTCTGATCAATCAGACTGTTACTGTTAAAACAAAAGACCATAGGCCTAAAAGAAGCCCACTAGCAATAGAAGAGAGTCCATTTGTACAATAGCACTAACTTTAGTTTGCCTTTACTATTCATTGATTTGTATCATATTACACGTGTAAACATCTTGTACAATCTAGGTTTTAGTAATGTAAAGCACATTGGCCAGCGTGCCACTATTACAAAACCCTAAAATATTGTCCTGGTATCAGAGCCAACTAGGTAAGAAGCCATGACAGAGAGCACTAGAGAGCAATCTACAGCTTCCAAAAAGATGATGACAAGTTCTAAGACACTGGTCTCTTCTGCTACGTCCCTACCAAAACTCCAAGGGGGTAATACCCTAAGCCAAGTCTGTTCTATCAAGCTGGATGGAACAAACTACCTTGTATGGCGCACCCACATGCTTCCCACAATCAAAGGTCACAAGCTAGAAGGCTTTTTAAATGGTACAGTGGAGTGCCCCTCTCAGTTCATCACTGTGGATGGTCAAACAAAACTTAATCTAGAATTCGAAGATTGGGTAGCAGCTGATCAATTGCTTCTTGGGTAGCTCCTCAACACCATGACACTTGAGGTGTCGTCTTAAATGGTGTCTGTTTTTAAATCAGCTGGTCTCTGGGAATCTATAAAATAGTTTGCTAGAGCACAAACTAAGGCTCGAGTTCTTATGCTGAAAGCAAAGTTCACACGCATAAGGAAAGGTTTAATGAAAATGGCTGAGTAACTTGCTAAGATGAAGGGTCTATCTTAACAGCTGTCAATTGCTGGTTGTACTATTCCTCTACCAGATTTGATCGTGCAAACTTTAGCTGGCATTGATGCTAAATATAACCCCATAGTGGTTCAGCTTGGAAGAGAAGCTTGTGACCTGACTTGGGTGTCATTTCATTATGAACTTCATAACAGGCTTGATCAACAATCTCAGCTCTCTCAGTAGCCCATTTCCACCTTTGTTAACTATGCAAGATCTGAACAATTTCCTACTTGGTATAATAATTGGAGGAGTGGTCGAGATGGTCGCAGAAATCGTGGCAAAGGTCGCAAGAACAATATAATAAACCCAGAGATAGTAATAGCAGTTTCTTTAATGAAGAAAATCCAAAATGCCAGTTGTGTCATCGCCTCAGTCACACTATTGAGACGTGCTTCTATCGCTACGACAAATCCTTTGTGAGATCTGAAAAGAAGAAACCAAACAATGCAGCTGGAGTTTCGAGTTTCAACTTAGACTATTCAGCCTACTGGGCAAGTCCAAAGACTATCAATGATAATGCTTGGTATGTAAACAGTGGGGCCACAAGCCATGTGACAAATGATCTCAACCGTCTTGATTGTCCTGCAAACCCAAATGGTAAGATTTGAATAATTGTTGGTGATGGAAACAAACTACATGTTGAAAAAGTTGGGAACTCTACTCTCTCTAATGTGCCAAACAAACAGGTAAAGTTAAAGGATGTTTTATATGCTCCCGGAATTAAAAAGAATATGTTGATTGTTTATAAAATGGCATGTGATAATGATGCTGATATTACATTTAATAAACATGGCTTTTCTGTGAAGGAACAGGAAACGAGGGAAGTGATGCTAGAAGGGGTCCCAAGTGACAGTGATATGTTTAAGGTCTCAAAATTGCAAGACGAAAATGGCAACACGGAGTTGGTCTGTAGTGCAGTAAAAGACAAGAAAAATCAAGCTGTTAATTCAGTAGTAGCTTTATCCAAAGATGCTAGTTCTAGCAGAATTTTATGGCATTGTAGACTTAGACATCCTAGTGATAGGGTGCTCAACCAAATTATTGGTGAATGTAAGCTGAGGATTAGTAAGAATGAAAGTACTTTTTGTGAGCCATGCAAATATGGAAAATCTCATTCTCTTCCCTTTAAAGTTTCACAATCACATGCTTCAAAACCTCTTGAGTTGTTACATACAGATCTTTGGGGTCCTGTACCCACTCAATCTATGAATGGCTTTAAGTACTACTTCCTGTTCCTTGATGATTACAGTAGATATTCATGGATTTTTCCTTTAAAAACCAAAGATGAAGCCCTTAACATGTTTACTCAGTTTAAAATCTTTGCTAAAAATCAGTTTGATAACAAGATCAAGATAGTACAGAGTGATTGGGGGGAGAATATAGAAGTTTTTTAAAGCTACTGCAAGACTCTGGTATCCACTTCAGACAGTCATGTCCGCACACTTCCCCCCAAAATAGCAGAGCTGAAAGGAAGCACAGACATATAGTAGAAATGGGTTTGACTCTTCTTGCTCAGGCTAAAATGCCCTTGCATTACTGGTGGGAAGCCTTTCATACAACTACTCATTTAATTAATCAACTACCTACACTCGTACTTAGTGGAACTTCACCTTATTTAAGACTATTTTGTAAATAGCCTGTCTATGATGAATTCAAGGTGTTCAGTTCAGCATGTTACCCCTGTTTCAGGCCATAAAATCAACATAAGCTATAGTTTCGTTCTGTTAAATGTGTCTTTCTGGGATACAGTAACAATCATAAGGGATATAAATGCTTGAATCCTACTGGAAAAATTTATTTGTCTAGACATGTTGTTTTTAATAAGAAAGAATTTCCTTTTGCTGCAGGATTTATCAATAAAAAGAAAGCTACCTAAAGAATAAGTACATCCAGGAGCCTTCTTTCAACCTCTATTATCATCCATGAGCAAACGATATCCAACAAACGCTCCTGCTGACGAATTCATCACAGCTCCTACAGAAGACATAGCTCTATCTGAATCAGCATCTCTGCCAAAGCCAGCTAACGTAAGCATGCTGCCTGCTACAAGAGATCTCTCAGCCTCTAAGTCCTATAGAACACAGACTGAACTTGAAGTCTCTGTTCAAAGTCCCATATCATCACCTTCACCACAAAGAAGCAGAAATGATGTTATCACACAAGGTGATGAGAATCAAGAAGACACTCAACAAATTATAGTTCAAAATCAACACCAAATGGTCACACGTAGCAAAGCTGGAAAAACAAAGCCTAAAGCTCCTTCTATTGGAGCTCTCACTACTAAATGTGAGAGTAATAGTATCCCACACTCAACTCGAGAAGCCATGAAGAATGCAGAATGGAAGAAAGTTATGCAAAAAGAATTTCAAGCACTAATGAAAAATAAAACGTGGGATTTGGTGCCCTACAATGGGCAAGGGAATTTGGTTGACTGTAGATGGGTTCTTAAAAAGAAATTCAATGCTGATGGATCTCTACAAAAGCATAAGGCCAGATTGGTGGCCAAGGGCTTCCAACAGAGCCCAGGAATTGATTTTGATTAAATCTTCAGTCTAGTACTGAAAGCCTTAACCTTGAGATTTGTCTTGACCTTAGCAGTGACTTTCAACTGGCACATCAGACAGATGGATATAAACAACGCTTTCCTAAATGGAGACCTACAGGAAACAATTCCTATGAAGCAACTAGAGGGATTTGTACACCCTCAATACCCTCATCATGTGTGCCTGCTGAGAAAAGCCTTGTATGGATTCAAACAAGCCCTAGGAGCCTGGTTTGACAAGCTCAGGTTAACTCTTACCAACTGGGGTTTTCTGCATTCGAAGTTTGACTCCTCCTTGTTTCTTCTCAAATATGATAGAAATATTCTGTTTGTTTTAATCTATGTGGATGACATAATAGTGACAGGAAGCTCAATGCAACTAATGAGGCTGTTTATTCAACATCTCAATGAACAGTTCGCTCTCAAGGATCTGGGAAATTTGCATCACTTCCTAGGTATTGAAGCTTTCAGAGATGATACAGGGTTGTATTTGAAACAAGAAAGATACATACTCAGTATCCTAAGTAAAAGTGGTATGCTAAACTTTTTGTCGGTACTTATGCCTATGGTGGTAAATAGATATCTCTCAAAATCTGACGGCCAACCTCTAAAGGACCCGACACTTTGCAAACAAATCATTGGAGCTTTGCAATATCTGATTAATACATGATCGGATATCATGTTTGCCATGAACAAATTGAGTCAATTTCTTAGCTCACCAACAGATATACACTGGCAAGCCTTGAAACGAGTACTTAGATATTTGAGAGGAACAACAGATCTAACTCTTCACATCAAACCAACTACACAACTCACCTTGTAGGGATTTTCAGACGCCGATTAGGGTGTGTGCCCGGATGATTGTCGCTTAATGGGTGGATATTGCGTCTACCTTGGTGACTCCCTGATTTCTTGGTTGGCAAAGAAGAAGAAGGTGGTGTCGAGGTCCAGTGCTGAGTCTAAGTGTAAAGCGCTAGTAGATCTTGCTACAGAGATTGCTTGGATTTAGTCTTTAATCCAAGAAATCAGTCTACATCTGAGAAGAATTCCAGTCGCCTGGTGTGATAATCTTAGTACAGCAGCCCTAGCTTCAAACCCTGTTTTTCACGCTCGATCAAAGCACATAGAGTTATATGTATATTTTATAAGAGACATAGTACTTGCTCAATAGCTATCCGTTTAATATGTTCCCTCGTTTGAACAAGTTGCAAACCTCTTTACAAAAGCTCTATCACACTTAAAGTTTTGGGCCTTTAGAGACAAACTAGGGATCACAAGACAGCCCATCCCTAGTTTGAGGGGGAATGTTAAAACAAAAGACCATAGGCCCAAAAGAAGCCCATTAGCAATAGAAGAGAGTCCGTCTGTACAATAGCACTAACTTTAGTTTGCCTTTACTATTCATTGATTTGTATCATATTACACATGTAAACATCTTGTACAATCTAGGGTTTATTGCCCTATTATATATTCAAATGTAAAGCACATTGGCCAACACACCATTATTACAAAACCCTAAAATATTGCCTGTTACAGTTTCTCCTAAAGAAGGCGTGTGGAATTAGCCATATGAACCCCTCTCTGGCTATGTCACTATCTTTGTATTGAATTTTCTCATCTACGGTTGCCCATGATCTTATGTATAATTGTTCTTGTGCCTGGCTAATTAGTTTTGTTTTGATGTTAACAGGCAATTCCTACTGCACTGTCAAGGAACCCCCTGCCCCTCACCTAAGCCATGCTACTAAGAACAATGGAGGTGCTCACTACAGATTTCGCTAATAACCCAGTTGACAAAGCCTTATACCTTTCGCACATTGTGGTAGCACTGGATCCTATGGATCCAACTGTGGCGAGGCAGATGAGGCACTAATTAGAGAACCTGTATGCAACATGTTGCGTCCCCAATTTGAACTGGTTTTTGAGAAGCAGTGTACGAGTGCTAATGCATGTAGTCAGGCAGCTGTTGACTTGGTGCTCGGGAAAGAGTGAATCAAGATTTTGGAGACTATTAATGTTGTACCAAACTGGGCTATTTCTCATATGATCGTTGAAAACTCCAGGGATCCTAAAAGTGTATTTTGACACAAAAATGTTTTGTGTAATATAAGGCTTGGACATCATGACCTGTTTTTTTGGGATAAAATGACTAGTCTTTTCCAATACATTTTTCCTGTTTCATCTGATTTATTTGAAGACGAGCGATTTCTCTTTGTTTTTGTATTTCTCTATTCTTCTTCGTAGGTCTAATTAATTATTAAAATAAAATCTTTTTAGCTAACAACAAGAAAATTAGCTCCTGAATTTAATTTCAATTTTTACTTTTTTTAATTTCACTTTTCATCTCTGGAATCTATTTGATTTCAGTCCAAGTTTTTATTTGTACTTTGATTTTTTAAAAAAAAAAATTTACCTTTGTTTCCTTTGTTTATGCAAAGTTTCATATTTTTTAATCATTGAATTCAACGTACGCTCATCAGCTAACAAATTCATTTCATTTTATTGTCAATTCACGCACATTTTAATTTAACATAGATGAATAGAAATATCATTATTTTATAAAAAAAATTTTATATTACAGTTGATCGAAACTAAAAGTAAATTTTAAAGTACGGTGAATATATCAATTTTTTAACCTGAGGATATAAAAGTAATTTCCGTCAATTTTTTTGGTGAAAAAACTGCGGCACAATTTTTGTCACAGTTTTAAACCGCATCAAAATATAGAGTAATCTTATCTGTTGTTAATAATGTATGTATATTATAAAGTAAATTTTTTTACTATGCATATGTATCCTTGTACTGAGAGTAATTCTTGTTTTAATTCGTAAAATTTTTCTATTTGTCGAAGCTTTGGGGCTGTTTGCAATTAGTTAAGTCAGGGTTAAATCTTGGGCTCGAATGAGGTGCATAACTGAGGCCCAATTTATCTTGGCCCGGGTTCATTAGAAAGCCCAATTCCTCGCCTCATTACATATTAAGCTTAATATTTCTCGCAGTTAAAATCTGATCTTGTACCCAAAAAAAAAAAAAAACTCTGATCTAACATTGTCAAATAACTCTATATAAAAATATATATATTAAGCTAAAATTTTCTAAAGTTTGAAGCTAATATGTGTGTAGTAATAAAATAGAAAAATTACAGAAAAGTCCTCAATTGCAAAATTTATTATTGAAAAATACTTGAAATTTGTTTAAAGGCTCAGGTACAGCTTATTTTCAACTACTACATAATTGAAAATATGTTGCCCCCGGTTGAAGAGAAGATAGCTTACAACAACTAAATGACTTGTATCGTTTAAAAAATACTTTTTGGAAATAATTTTTTTAGTAGGAAGTTTTGATGAAAGGATTGGATATTAACTAATGCGACTAAGAATATTTTAATTAAAATACTCATAAATTTTATTTTGATAAATCTAAGGAACTGAACCTAATCAGCACAGTTAATATTTTAATTAAACTAAATATGTGAATATTATACAACAAAACAAAGAATCCAACATTGTAATCGTTCAACTTTTGCTGAGAATTAACACATCAAATAACTAAATACATCTCACAGTTAGAAACTTAAAAATACTAATAAAGAGATGATGAATGAGACTGTGAGATCAAAAATAATTATAAACATTATAACAATATACAGATTTATTAAATTCATAAATATTCCTAATAACGTAAAATAAAAGTTGTCACATTCATAAAATATACCGTACAACGTGTCCTTCAACAGGAATAATATTTCAAGTTACAAGTTCAAGGGAAAAAAATCACTTATAATAATAATAATAATAATTAACATCCATAAATATGCTTTCTTTGACGTCCGATTACAAATTGTTTGCTTCTTCCTTTTCACTTTCACAGCCATAAATGTTTCTCGGAAAAAACCCTAAAAATAATTTTCAAATAATTATTTGATTATTAAAGAAAATTTCCAAATTTAACTCCCTAAAAGGAAAAAAGACACATAAAGAGACACACCCATACAGGCACCTTGCTTAGAGAAAGGCAATTCCTAAGAAAAACATGACACCTCTTGAGATATCATGGTGATAAATCTTTTGGGAAGATTAAAGCGAATAACTTAGAAAGAATGATATTTATATTATTAAAATCATATTACCTCCAGTCCTAATTATAAGAGTCAGTTGACTAATTTGAGGAAATTAAAAAAGTAAGTTGAGTTAGTTATTCGTCCTAAATAAGTGTTGTCTTTTCTAAAATATCCTTGCTAATCAAGTGTATTGACTAGAACTATCATTGTTAGAAGAATTACTTTGGAGTCTTATATTTAGGATCAAAATAAAAATCAAACAGGGTCTTATATTAAGACCCGGAAATAGTACTTATTTAGAAATATTAATTACTAAACGCTCATATGCCAAATGCGTGTGTATATAAAGACACACGGAGATGCGAAAGATTTTTGTTTTACGCAGAATCTGATTTTTTTTTTCTTTTCTCTAATTTACAAAGAATCTGACTGTTCGTCTCTCATATATCTTAAGTTATATTTATTATACATTATGCAAAAGTATTATTTTAATTGCTGTTATTTTTCTTGCTTATATCCATTAAATTGATGATCACTTCTCTAATTAAATATTAGAACATAGATTTCTTTAAAATAATAAAAATTTATATGAGTAAAATTTCAAAATTTTATGAGACCATAATTGATAATAGAAATAAAAAAAATTATAAGACTTGGTGGGAGAGATAGACTTAATGGATATAAGCAAATAAACCTAATTTATATCTTTTAATACTATAAAACAACTTTTATCTTCTAATAATTAATTTAAATTAAAAATCTTGAGCTAACAACGAGAAAGTTAGCTCCTGAATTTAATTTTAATTTTAATTTTTTTTAAGTTTACCGTTCATGTCTAAGCTCGAATTTATTTGATATTAATGTCAAATAAAATTTGAGTTCTACGTGCATTTTCAAACATAGTATAAATATGACCTATTGATAAATGCACAAAAATTAATTAAATTATTATTTAAAAATTCAAATTAAATATCAATCTTTATTACATATTTTCGAAATATATTGAAACTTAGACTATTTTCCCATTTCCTCTTATGCTGCAATATAATCTCAATTCAATATATATCTTTCTAGAGAGAATGTCATATAATTAAGGACATTGGAATGACATTAATATATAAATCTAAAACATTATGAATTTACAGAATTTACAAATAAGCATTATGGAAAAGCCTTTTGTAACATCTTTAGGTCCTGGAGTGCAGCCGTAGCCACCTCAGGGTGTCGCTCGTAGATATTATCCGTTTTTGTGCAGCCGTAGCCACCTCACGGTTTTGTTTCCCTAAGCGTAGCTGTAACTACTCAGAAAACGTATTTACGAGGGAGAGGTATCCGCACCCTTATAAGACATGCTTCATTCCCCTCTCCAATTGATGTGGGACTTCACAATCCACCCCTATTAAGACTTAGCGTCTTTGCTGGCATATCAACTTAGGTAGTGTTTGGATAAAAACCAAACCATGGTTTCAGAAGTGCTTTTACGGATTACGAAGTAAATATGTGGAGGAGGTTACCTCGTTTTGCGGAAAAGTGCTTCTGAAACCATGGTTTTGGAGCACCCAAACAGAGCCTTAATCTTGGCTCTGATACCAATTGTAACATCCTTAGGTCATGAGGTGGCTACAGCTGCACTCCAGGACCTAGAGATATTACATCTTTACTGGCTAACAACTTGCAATTTGCAAATCAATTTACAAATTGTAGAATCATTTTGCAACCAATATTTCACGATTTAAGATTTAAAACCTTTTTTTTTAATTTTTAATTGAGTTATATAAAAACTATGTAAGGATATTTTTGGTCATTTGCTTTTCTAAGAATTCATTTTTTAGCGCAGGTGACAATAGAATGTGGGATCTATAAATGTTAATTACTATTAAAGGGGTAATAGCATGTGGGATCTATAAATGTTAATTGCTATTAAAGGTTACTACATTTAGAAATTTTACAGAATAACCAAATTTCTTGATTAAAATTAAGGTATCTGAATAATTCTTTTAACATTAATTAGTGTGATATATTCAAATTCACATTGGATTAACTTTGGTTGATAATATTCACCTTGAAAATTTTTGTTCTACACTCAACTTTGATTATATTACCTTTAATATTTATTTATATATAAATATCGATTCACTTTGAAATGTTTATTAAAATTATTCTTTTTGGCCAGCATGTTATGGGGTTATTTATCGGAGGAACAAGTGGAGGGAGGAATGGAGGATGGTTCCCAATTCCGCCTCGTTACGAAAAGACCTTGCAGCCCCTGCGTTTGGTTCAGACTCTGCTTTCACTCCAGCAACATCTAGTGGCATTGTCGTCTTTCCGAGTTAACCACATCGTGAAACCCAGAAGCTGACACGTGGTGGTTTTCAGATTCGCGATTCTACCCTCGGATATTGTGGCGGGCGGATCATTACGTGTCAGGCTTGCGGTCTCCAGAACTATCGGCCTCCCAGAAAATCACATAGAAAACGGCGCCGTTTTCTTTCCGCTAACTGTTCTTTAGCTGAGAGAGAGAGGAGAGAGAAATTCAAGTAGTTTTATCTTCGTCATCGTCGTTCGTTCCTCCATCCCCATCCAAGTCTTCCCCTTTCTTAATTCTGTCTAATTCTCACTCTGGGCTAGGTATTATATTATCTCCATTTCTCGTTCTCTCATGCAATTACGTGTTTTTATTTGCGATTTTGATCGTGGGTTTTCTTCGTTTATGCTCAGTCATCCTTGTTATTTTCACTTTTGTTGTATTTGTTGAAGGGTTGAAGATGAATATTTGTACGGCAGGTATGCGTTGATTTGGAATTTCCTTTCAGTAATTGTTTTGTCTGAGTTAATTCTTCAACTTTCTCGCTTCACTCGCACTAACTATTCCGGTTCTTGCGAGTTCCCTGGTTCTGCTTTTCTGTTTCATTATTTTGTATCATTTTTTAATTAAATTAAGGAGATTATTTTTAAAAAAATCAGTGGAGAACACAGAACTTCAAACGATTTTGTAAATTGGATGTGTTATCGTTTTTAATATTACTGCTACTGGTATAATTATAGTATGTATTCTGTTGCGTGTGCTTACTAAGCCTGTGGTCTCTACTTTTGGCGTATTGCCTTTGTGGATTCACGAACTTCTTGGCAGTCATACTAATAGTCTTTTTTGGGCCGTTTAAACTGGAACAAGTTTTACCACGGTTTCATACATAAAGTAATCATAAATACTCTTTACGCAGTCAAATATGCTTTATGAGTTGCATATTGGTTTCCTTCGCATGTTCACCTGGTAGTTCTGTTACTTCTTGAGACTTATTTATATAAGGGCATAAGGCCAGTATAATTTTTCTTTGTATCTACAAATGGAAGCTTAGCTTTTATGAGCGTTTAGCAGCATGCAGCTGCAGTTACACTGCCTCAACCAGTCATGGCTCTTTATGTCTTTTTGGGTTTATTTATGAAATGGCATTGTAGTTTTGACGATATCTTCTAGAACAGAAGGCTTATCTTGTTCAAACTCTTAGCAGCAAGCGGCAGCAGTTGTACCTCCACGGCTAGCTCCATTCTGGTGTTTCTCTCATCATCGCTCTCCAATTCTACCAAAATCAAGTTCCTCCCTTCGGTTTCTAGATTCTCTTCCAAGCGTATTTGCTCCTTCCCTCAAACTCACCAACGTGTTGCTATTTGCAAGCCAAATATGAACTTGTTGAATAGACTTGGGTTTGGTAGCATGAGGGCTCCGGAGAATATGGATTCCTCGATTCCTCAGGGTCCAGATGATGACATCCCTGCACCAGGCCAGCAGTTTGCCCAGTTTGGTGGTGGTTGCTTTTGGGGTGTTGAACTAGTCTTTCAAAGGGTGCCTGGGGTAACTAAGACTGAGGTTGGGTACAGTCAGGGATTTTTGCACAATCCAACCTATGAGGATATTTGTACTGGGACCACAAACCACTCAGAGATCGTCAGGGTCCAATATGACCCCAAAGAATGTAGCTATGACACTTTGCTTGATGCGTTCTGGGATAAGCATGATCCTACCACTCCGAATCGACAGGTATAGTAGAGCTCTTTCCTTGTTCTATAACCCTTGTTGTGATTGATGGAATTGATCTGGTAATTGAGTTAGATGCTTTTTGAATTTCAAGTGGGATGTCCGGACTTTGCTGATGCACATGATAAATGTAGATAGTGGATTGTGAACTGAGATAGTTTTGGTTAACTTCATGAATTATTACTTTAAGGGTTTGATATGCACGAAAAATTTGATTTAATGTCTTATTTGTGCAAAGCTGTAATTTGATATTGGTTGTTCCTGTTGATGGTTAGCCTTCTAGGTTTGCAATCGTGCTTTCGTTTGTATGTTTATGTTTTTATTTTTTGTTTTTTTGGTTTTTGGTTATGTCTGTGTGCTTTTGTATGTTTAAATGCATTTCTGTTGATATGGCATACGCTTGAAATTACTACATTTTTTTTTGAATCAAATTTTCTGCTTCACTTGCACATTTTCCTGATTCAACTGGATAAATCTTGAAATGCAATTTACTTCTGATAATTTGGATCCCTTGAAGTACATCACTGGGGTGAAGTAGAGAGAAATAGGAAGGAAGCAGTGGGCCCCACTTTTTAAGATTAACATGTGTATTACTTTGAAAGGTGGGAACTGCCATTCTCTTCTTATAGCTCTTCTTCACTAAGGCTAGTTACTTCAAAGGATCCACATTAGGATTGAATGTTTCAACTTTGACATCCAAATCCAAAATCTAAGATGGAAATTTCTATGCCGTTTTGTTTTGTCCTGTTCAAACTTCCTCTTTATGGGTCATGTTTTCTTGTTATAAAATTCATGGAATTATTGGTAAGTTCCTGAATCTCTGAATTCCAGAAGTGCTTTCATCACAAATGACACTGTTTGGTGTTGACTTGTGAGTACAGATAAAAATATGGGGAAATAGAGAGATCATGCATCTCACCTTCTACCATGCTATTATGGATATGTAATAGTTCATCAGTTATTCATAGGATGCTTCCAAGCCTTGCATTCTGAGTTGGATCGATTCAAATGCTTTTGATGCAAGCCACATTGTTTTATTGATAATGGCAGTGTGAATATCAAGATTAAGACAAAATTATTGGTTAATCCTGCAACCTGAGTGGGAGATTGAGCAAGTTCAACCGTTCAGCACAGCCAGCCACCTACATACAGTCAAAAGGGAAAATAGGAAAAATAAGAAAGACACAGCGCAATCACTAGAGCGCCTTATCACATACTAGCATTTGAGAGGCCTGCATTCTCCCCACTGTCCATCGTTGCCTGGCACCTTTCCATACCTCCACCATATGTTCGAGTTCTTTATGTTGTTGCCCCCCTCTCTTGCCAACTTACCCTTTGTATCTGTCTTTCTTTCTGCCATAAACTTGGGCTGGCATTCCAAGACCAATGCTATTTGCATACCCATCGGCTTTATGCCTTGTTCTTTTTGGGATGAGAATTAGTAGCATGAATTTGATTTCACATTTGTGTGTCTATTTATATTCTTGACGCACATGGCCCTGGCTTGCACCTGAGTTAATTATCAAGTTCGACTTTGACTTGCATTTTTTTAAGCCTCAGATTACTCATGAACATACTTCTTGATGTTTGTAAGCACTTGAAAGAGCCTTTTTTTTTTTTTAAAATCTTATTTTGACATGGAATTATGAACATTAATAACTGCACTATATTACATTTATAAGTCTCCAGAAACTATAAATGTAGCTGCATTCAAGTTAGAATGAAAAAAAGTGTGGCGGGGCAATTTGAACTCGGATGGAGTAACTGTATGGTTTGTGGTTGTTGTTGAAATGCTGCCAGACGTTGCGCATGCATCCTGTAGCTCAACCACTTAATGGCGCTTTAACCTTGATGTGTGGCAGGGGAATGATGTGGGAACACAGTACAGATCTGGAATATACTATTACACTCCTGAACAAGAGAAAGCAGCCCGAGAGTCAATGGAAAGACAACAGCAGAAGTTAAACAGGAAGATCGTTACAGAGATTCTTCCGGCCAAGAAGTTCTACCGGGCAGAAGAATACCACCAGCAATACCTTGAGAAAGGAGGCAGGTTCGGTTTCAAGCAGTCTGCTGCCAAAGGGTGCAACGATCCAATTCGATGCTATGGCTAAGATTATGATTATGTGGGAGCAGAAGTATCAGTTCAGACCTGGATGCTGAATGTCTATAGCTTTGTGATAGTGAGTATCTGTTAATATATTCATAGAGCTTCTGAAAAATTCCTACTGTATTGTGTAGTTTAAGGTAGGTCATAAAATCAATTTGTAGAGATGATCATGTATTGGTGTGCGACAGTTGAAGTTCTTGTTTTGCCGGTGGAGTGGGAATGCTGCGTTATTTGAACCTATTTAATATTTTGGTAATGGCGTGTGTGATAGAAATAGAGGTGAGATGAATAATGTCTTGGAATTGAATGCAAGTGAGTTGATATGTCAGTTTCATTGGTTCATTTTCAGGCTGACTTTTCATGCAGTTTACTGTGGAACTTTGAGAAGGGAATAGTCCCTAAGGAACAAAGCAATAAAGTGAATTTATGATGGGTGGCAACTTTTTTTATTTGAGAGAGAAGTATTTCCCAAATTTTAAGAAAACGAAGTTGAGTCAAATAAGAACTTACTGGATGACACGAACTGTATTTCACTTCAAATATGCTCGGTTTAAATAAATGGGGATTGTAATTAGCATGTGTATGCATTGCCTTTGGGATTGTAATTAACAAATGAAGTTCAAAATAATACTATCTTGTTATGAACACAAATTCAGAGGGAAAGTCAGTTCTAAAATATTGGTATATTGGATGTGAGAGTTTTTTGAATTAATATAAAACTTGCTTAGAATAGTTTATAAGTAATTTTTTACGGAATATGAGATAAGTATAAAAGAAATTTTGTTTTAATTTATATGAAATGTGTTTATAAATGGTTTCAATCATGATAGCAAATATGACCATATAAGCGCTGTGGCATGAGCCTTATAAGGCCACTTCTTCTATTTTCTTCTTCTTCTTTTTTGGGAAATAATGACTATTTTTATGCATGGAATAGAGATCTAGCAGGCGGATTTTATTTTAATTTTGCCCTGCAAAAATTCTAATGGAACCTCGCCCTATTGATTTTTTTCAAGAAAAAAATATGAGTAGCCCCCATGCCTGCGCTAGAAAGTGAAGTACAGAAACCATGATGAGGCATGGCCCGCAGTTACTATGGAGATTTTGTGGATTTCATCACAATCCTTTTAGCCCTTTTCATGCAACCACACTCACCAAACACATACGACACAATAATAAATCAATTTGCTTTTTAAGGGAGCTCACTAAGTTGGGATTAAATAGCCGTTTAGCCCCTCTTTTTTAAATTAGATTAAACCAAAAAGAAGACTAGTAGAGTGTTTGGATAAAACCAAAAACCTGGTTTCAGAAGTGCTTTTACGAATTACGAAGTAAATATGTGGAGGAGTTACCTCGTTTTGCGGAAAGTGCTTCTGAAACCACGGTTTCAGAGCATCCAACAGGCCTAGATCTAAAGTCCCAACTCTCTTTTTAAACAACAAAATAAGAAAAGGTGAATATTTAATTAGTTAAAATAATTGGGGGGCGGGGGTTGTCTGTAACTGTGGGAGGCATTTAATTTTAGAGGGCCATGTGAGTGTGTGGCCTGTGGGTTTGTCGCACATGGGAAGAGGAGGCACATAGGAGAGACACGTGGCGAGGTGAGGGAGAGACACGTGGCGAGTCCCTCGGATGCCTTTGCGGAGGGATCCTAACTTATGGAACCGAACAAATAGAAGAGTGTACAGCCCACGCTGACGCTGCACAGCTGCCCCCTCCCCAGTGCACTTATCATTCATTCAGGCCCGCCCTTCACCAATGGCTTTCGACGGTATCCCCGACAACCCCGCCTCTTCTCCACGCTCTCCTGTCGCGCGTGTTGTCAACGTCGCTATTTTATCTTGCAATGAAATTTTAATACTACCCATTCTTATCCTTAATTCTTAATATAAGAGTTATTTAAGTAATTTAGATAAATTAAAAATTTATTAAATAAATTTAAAATATTTATGTTCATTTTTTTACTCTAAATTAATTTGTCTCACTTATATATTGATAGGTAATACAATAATACATATAACATTTTAGAAAGATTATGTAGCATATACTATAATGAAGTAATTTAATAATTTTTTAATATTTTAAAATTAATCGAATGGATCTTATATTAAAGATTGGATGGACTGTAAGTGGATTTCTTTGGGAAAATTAACCTTATATGCATGTTTAAAGAATTAATGGTTCGTTAACACCAAAATTTAAGTGTGGATATTTTTAATGTATGAAAACATAACGGTTACTATTTGTCAGTTAATTTTCAAACAGGAGTTTATGAATAAATTTTTCTATTTTTTGTCTGGCCTGAAACAATTCTTTCTACTACAGTCAGAAGTTTGATTTTTCCATAATTTCTTAGGTGCTTACTTGAAAACAAGTAAATCTAATGTGATAGTTTCTCTCAAAATGTAGATCTGTGATGTTTTTGTTGGACGATATTTAGGTTATGATTATTGTCATTATTTTTTTTTCCCATCATATATTCATATGTGATGATTAACATGCATTTATTTATTTATTTTGCTTTTGGATTTTCTCTTTGATTGATTTTTCATTTAGGGACAAGGTGTTTCTAAATTTCACTTTGTAATTCTATAAGCCGTACGTCGTTGTCATTTCAAAATACAGAAACAATTTATTGAAAATTTAACAGGTTAATAATTAATTACCTAATTAAAAGTTACTAATTAACTTGAGTTTTTTTAAAACGTTTTTATTATAAATAAATTATTTTATTTTTAAACTGGAAAGTTCCCAGTTACCCAATAATGATTAATTTCCCATGCACTATGTTTCAAAATGCCCATCATGTAACCTTTTTATAAGCTGCCTTGACCGTTGAAATTCTTATGCTGGTCGACCATTCACTTTATCTTGCACAGTTATTAGTTAGTTACTTTAAGACTTACGAGTGAACATACCAAAAATTCCTTAACACACACACACACTTGACCAAGTTTTTTTTAAAAATCATTTTTAATTAGGGAAAATTGCAAAAAAAGACCTTGGAATTGTAAAACGCAGATAGGGACCCTTGACAACTTCACTTTAGGTTTTGACAAGAATAATGCCCTGAAGTTGTCAAAACCCAAAGTGAAGTTGTCAAGGGTCCCTATCTGCGTTTTTGCAATTCCAAGGTCTTTTTTTGCAATTTCCCCTTTTAATTAATTAGATAGATCTCTGTGTAGTTGTATAGAGTTTAACGACAAATTAAATAGAATTTTTTTTATAGTTTGATAAAGAATTGTTCATTGGGTTATATTTTAAGTTTGTTTCTACACTCTTTTTTTAAAAAAAAAAAAAATTAAAATCGTCGACAGGATGAACATGTTTATAATTTTTTATTTCAAAGAAAATTGATTTGATACATCTAACGAAAGGAATACGAGGCGAGGCCATTGTTGTTTCTCATCCGAACTTGGATATAACTTACGAAACTATTTATTCCTCCAATCCTAAATGTAAGACTCTTATACTAATGTGTATAAAGGTCTTATATTTAGGACTGGAGGAGTATCGTTTTTTTTAACTGAAAAATATTTTTTGGCCGTGAATTTTTAAGTATGAAATTAAAAGTTCCGTGCTTTATAAATATGATAGATATGGATTTTTTTCTCCCTTAAGTGAAACATGACGGAAAAAAAATATGAAAAGAAAAAAAGTAACGAAATTGTTTTATCATTGAAAGTCGAAACTAGGTAGATTCCCCTACGTGGGGATGCCAAGATTCAAATCATAACGTCTCTTCTGGCGAAAGGGCAAAAAAAATATCCCCATGGTTCTTCGGGGAAGCCGCTGAAACACACGACGTCGTTTCGTTCCCCAAACTAGAACCAAATTGTGCCGTGGTAATTTCCTAATTTCACCCCCGGGAAAAAATGGAGAAGGAGAATACTTGTAAGAGATACGTTGACCGTAGAAACATACGGAGTGACTTGCGTATTTTGTATCCGATTACGTCGTTTTCTCAGCTAATCTCTGAAAACGCCATGTCCCTCTCTCTCTTGCGGAGGCATAGCGTCCCTCTCCCTCTCCCTGTTTCTCTCTGTACTTTCTCGTGTTCTCACAGGCTCACACCTGCACACACTTCACAAGCTCCATCACAAACACACACAGATTCTCGCTTAGTTTCGCTCTCCCTCTGTCCCCCTCTTTACCCCTCTGTCTCTGTATCTATCTTCGTTGCTTTCTCCCTGGGGATATTTATGCAGGAAGCAATACTCTATCTGCATATCTGAGTGGCCCACACTCGCCGGAGAAGATGAAAGTTTCAGGCAAGTCTCAACACCCACCAAAATGTTCGGAGAATATTCTTTCGAGGACTCGAAATCCGTCACCGGACTCAGATCTTCAGCCTCCCAAGTCGTCTCACCGACGAAACCCAGAACCCCATTGGCCCGGTTTAGGAAAAATGGTGCTCCTTTGGGTCGACGGAGCCGACCTGAAACCCCTTTACTGAACTGGAAGACCGATGATAAAGGGCAGAACAAAGATCCACTTGACGAGGATGAGAAGTCGGATGCTGGATGCGGCAGGAGAGCCAAAGGGAAGAAGCAAAGAGAGGCGAGCGTGTCTGTTAGGAAGCTCGCCGCTGGGCTGTGGCGGTTGCAGCAGCCGGAGATGGCGCCGGCTAGGTCGGGACTGCAGGTAGCTTCAGTATTGCTTTTGGATTTGTGTTTTTGTTTACTATAGATCCGTAGCATTCATTCTCATGCCTATGTTTCTTGCATTAGCTGCTTTTGATTGAAGTTCTGTTTTGCAGCATTGAGCTAATTTATCCTCATCATTGTCTCATCATTGGGAGTAAATACATTCAAGATTTGTTTTTTTGCTGATTTGATTGTTGCTTGATGTTGAAGTCTATGGTTGACTTTTGAGATTGGATCTTTATCATCATTCTCCAAGCTACTTTTTGTGTTTTGCCATATATTGGACTTCCAGAGGAAGATACTCAACTGTCTTTTCGAGCTTAAAAAGTTATGTCTAGTTCATTGATTTCGAGTTCTACTGAAAAACTTCTTACGAGTCACGACCTTACTGTTCTTTAGTGCTATGTAAAATGCAGTTAGGGTTTACCTGTGGACATGGATAACCTAATATTTACTTGATTTCTATGCAATATCTTTTTTCCCATTCTTTGATGTTTATTATCTCCAGTTGCTGCCCTTCCACTTAGTTTATTTGGATGCATTTTATAATTTAAGCATGACTTCATTTGGATCCTTTTTTCTGCATCCTTTATGCACCAGGATCTGTTATTAGAAATCAGAGCATTTCTATTAGTATCAGAGAATTTCTTTTCCTTGTTGCTTGGTATTCTTGTGCCATATTTTTCAATGTGGTTAGCATCATTTGCATACTGATTGTGTTTTTACTCCTCAACAGCA